TACAGAGAACATAGGTGCCTTGCTCATTTCAACAGGAAGTAACAACAATAATACAAGTGTGTGTTGGGGGGAGTGTGTGTGTATTCGGGGAGTGAGAGACAGTGTGTGTGTGGTTGTGGGTGTGTTAGGGGAGTGTGAGAGACAGCGCGCTGTCCCTTTAAGCTCAGCACTCACTAGTCTGAAGGCTTGTTCAGACAGCAGCAGCTCCCACTCCTCACCCAGAAGCAGCAGCACAGAATCCTGTCCCCCCCACCCCAGGTCAGCAGAGACAGGGGACACACCAACATCAGTCCACTCCCAGCTCTGCACAGTAGACAGGAGGTTCCCAGTACCAGGGTGGCCAGGGGCAGCTCCATGGCGGGGGGGAGTGGAGCAGGAGCAGTGGTGGCTGCAGACAGGAGCAGAGCAGCGGGGGGAGGAGGGGAACCCTGCACCAGAGATTTTCCACCCATAGAACAGCACTTCTGGGTGGTTGCCCATCCATCCACCCCTAAGGCTGGCCCTGACATCAGGGACATTTATCAAGAGACAATGGGCAGTAGGGAGTCACAGGAACAGCCCTGCAATCCACAAAGCTGAGTGAGGGGCTTAGACTCCCTATGCCAGAGGTGGCCAATCTGTGGCTCCGGAGCCACATGTGGCTCTTCAGAGGTTAATATATGGCTCCTTGCATAGGCGCTGACTCCAGGGCTGGAACTACAGGTGCCAACTTTCCAATGTGCCCGGAGGAGGGGGGCCACTGCTCAACCCCAGGCTCTGCCCCAGGCCCTGCCCCCACTCCAGCCCTTTCCCCAAATTCCCATTCCCGCTCCCCCCCCACGCTTGCCTCCCCCCAGCCTCCAGTGCACATGAAAGAGCTGATTGCAGTAGGTGGGAGGCATGGGGAGGAGGAGGAGGCACTGATTGCTGGGGCTGCCTGCGGGCAGGAGGCACTGGGGGCTGGAGTGGGGAGAGCTGACGGGGGGCTGCTGACATATTACAGAGGCTCTTTGGCAATGTATATTGTACATTGGTAAATTCTTGCTCCTTCTGACGCTCAGGTTGGCCACCCATGCCCTATACAATTCCCCTCTACTCAGCATTTGCTCTGTTCCGGTCCCAGAGGCTTGAATTATCTGGGGATCCTGGGGCTCAGATGCTTGGGTTCCCCTTACTGCAGTCCGGTGGCACCTAACCAGGTCTGGGATACACACACACACACACACACCAGTAAACAGAAACCTTCTTACTGCCCAGCATCCAAACACCCTTAACTCTGACCAGGTGGGTGCCGGTGAATATTTCTACATGTCTGAAATATTAATTTCAGAGACATAAATGGTGAGATCTTCCCCTCAGGGCTGCCACATCCCTTTGCCCAGGGCTGAGGGGGGCTCTTTCCTGGATGCTTCTTCCTGTTTCTGGACAAGATTCTCACCCTCCAGTGCTGCCACCTCCTGCTCCCTTTGTCTTGGGGTGGGAAGGTTTCTATTAATGGTTCTTCCTGAGCTAGGGAGAGGCTGTCTTCTGTTCCACGTCTTCCACAATTCTCTGTGGCCAGCATAGAGCAGCTGGTGGCTTTAACAAGAGACACCTGTGGCCAGGAGCGACACAGGGTATGTCTACACTACGAGAGTAGTTCGATTTTACTTAAATAGAATATGTGGAATCGATATTACAAAGTCGAACGTGTGTGTCCACACTAAGGACAGTAATTCGACTCTGTGAGTCCACACTAACGCGGCACGCGTCGACATTGGAAGCGGTGCACTGTGGTAGCTATCCCACAGTTCCCGCAGTCCCCGCTGCCCATTGGAATTCTGGGTCGAGCCCCCAATGCCTGCTGGGGAAAAAAATGTGTCGAGGGTGGTTTTGGGTAACTCTCGTCATCCAACCGTCACTCCTGCCCTCCCTCCCTGAAAGCGCCAGCGGGAAATCAGTTCGCGCACTTTTCTGGTCAGTGACAGCGCGGACGCCACAGCACTGCGAGCATGGAGCCCGCTGCGACCATCGCTGCAGGTATGGCCGTTGTCAACACCTCGCACCTTATCATCCACCTTTCCCAGAGGCAGATGCTGAGAAATCGGGCGAGGAGGCTACGGCAGCGCGGTGAAGACCTGAAGTCTGAGAGTGGCACAGACCTGTCACAAAGCACGGGACCCCGCGCCGAGGACATCATGGTGGCAATGGGTCATGTTGATGTTGTGGAACGGCGATTTCTGGGCCCGGGAAACAAGCACGGACTGGTGGGACCGCATAGTGCTGCAGGTCTGGGATGAATCACAGTGGCTGCGAAACTTTCGCATGCGGAAGGGGACTTTCATGGAACTTTGTGAGTTGCTCTCCCCTGCCCTGAAGCGCAAGGACACCCAGATGTGAGCAGCCCTGAGTGTCCAGAAGCTAGTGGCCATAGC